ATATGTCCATGCAACGATCTGTATTCCAGAAACTGGAAACAACCCAGTTCCTTCCCTGGACACAAGTAGTAATCCCTGCGTACAGCGGGGTGCGACTGCACGTTCTGAAGGAGGGCAGTGCTGATGCTCGGAAACATGGAGGAATCTCAGGAGCACCACGCCGGGCGGAGGAAACCAGACAACAGGCTCCATACTGTATGATTCCAGTGACAAAAAGTAAATCCATTTGGGCAGAAAACAGATGAGTGTTTTCCAGGGGCGGTGAATGGACTGCAGAAGAGCACGAGAGAACTTCTGGGGAGGGATGCAAAGGTTCCGTGTCTCGTTTGTGGTCGTGCTTATGCAACTGTTCCGTTCTGTGAAACTCCTCTCACTGCACATTTTAAAAGGGGACGTTGGATTGTGTGCAAATTATAGATACCTCAAGCAACCTGACTTTTTGAGATACGTAATCTGGAGAAAAACAAACTTTAAATTTTTTTTTTTTTTTTAAGGCACACAGGAGTTGATCTTTCAGAGGAGTGATGAGTCAGTTTGAATGGGACAGTGAACATTCCAGAACAGGACTCCAGAGGTCAGGTGGGAGGCGATGGTGCCATACTCGGGGAGTGGGGAGTCAGTGGGGGTTGTCAAGTGAGTGAGTGACTGTGAGGCATGGACCCCGAGGGGTCCTCACGTTACAGGGAGAGAAGGAAGGAAAACAAACAGACACGTCAGCCTAGGCAGTACCAAAGGTGGTGGACAATAGGCATGGTTTTAGAAGGGACAATGTAGTACCAAGAGTAGAAAGTAGAAGGGAGTAAATAAATCTCCCTTCATCTCTCTCCTCCACCCTGGGACCTACCAGCATTAACAGTTCCGTGCGGCCACCTAGAAATATTCCATGTGTTCTCTATTGAACTTTGCTTCTTTCCATGGGTCAAGATCTCTTTCAGATTGTTCCCCATCAGCATATGTAGAGCTGCCCTGATTTTTTAAATAGGTGTGGAATCCTATGGAGGCACCATGGTTAATTTAGCCCGGCTGCCATTGGGAGACATTCAGATCATTCGTGATAGGGGGTGCCATTACAAATGATGCTTCAATTAATATGCATATTAAAAAGTTCCTTCTTGTGTGCGTGAGTCTATCTACTAAATAGATTCTCGAGGGTGGAATGGCTGGACCAAAGGACATGTACATTTTTATTTTGATGTGTATGGTGAACCCCATCACCACCTTGGGTGATACCCGTTCACCCTCCCACCAGCTGCATTCGTGAATAATAATTAACACCTGTCATCCCAAGACCTGGCCCGAAAAATGGGAAATTCCAACTTTGCCTTTGCCAGTGTGATAGGTGAGAAATTGTACCTTCTAGGAAATTCGATTTGCTTCCGGAGGAAGGAATGTTTTAGAAGCAAAGGAACACCACGTCTCAAGCGTCACATCCACCCCACCCCCTTGCCTCCATCAGACCAGACAGCACCTCTCTGTGCATTAGGAAAAGGCACGCCTCCTCAGGACACTTGACTGCCACCTGGCAGAAAACTGTTGTGATAACTGTAGAAATCTGTGACGACCCTGAGGCGAAGAAGAGCCCCAGAGCTGGGGACAACACAGCCCGCCCTCCCACACGCAGCGGCGGCAGCTTCTGGCAGTTTCGAGAGCGCAGTGGTCTCTGGGTGGTGACCAGATTGCCTGCAATAACACAGTCTTAGCGGCAGATCCGGGACAGGAATTCAAGCTGTCTGACAGCAGAGCATGAGGGCATTCGCTTGAGGGACAGCCAGAATAAATGGAAACTTCATTATCCATGGATTATGCACTTAGAACTCAGGGCCCAGGCAACTCTGAGATTAGTAATTTGGCCAGCAGGCTCATTAAGCTCTTAAGAAAAGTGAATCTAGTTAATGAATTGATACAAGATGACATTTTACACACACAGCACAAACGAGACCAGGCACCACTGAGTTATGTAACATCATAATTTCTCGAGTAAATGTGATGGCCGCTTCTCGCCTGCCAAAGTGGGCCGATCTGGAGAGGGCCTGCTTTCGGAGACATAAATGAGACTGTTAAGATTTGCAGTCATTTCATATTCCATTCATTTTAAAGCGCTCCCTCTTGTATTCTTAAAACTTCAAGTGGTTACACAGAAGTCAGTGTTTTAAAATCTCTGGGCCTGTTTGTTTTCCAGAGGAAAATCCACCGGCTTTCATTTTCTAGGAGACACAGCTCTCTAAAAAGGAACTCACTCCATCCTTACTCCCTCCTCCATCTTGCCCCCTGCAAAGGGGACTCTCCCCGCCTCTGCGTCTGAGAAGTTGGTATGAGGATAATGGAAAGAATGTGACCACTCAGAATTAGCATGAGCCAGTTTGGGATGATGAAAAGTTCCATGAATGAACTCAGTGCCACTGAACCAACCCTTAAAAATGGTGAGAATGGTAAATTTTATGTTATGTATATATTTTACCACAATAAAAAGGCAAAAAAGAATGAGCACTGACCGAGGGCAAACCTTTGCCAGGCACTGTGCGTATATATTGTATTTTACCCCCCCAAGGACTTGGCTACCGTGGTTTACCCACCACTGCCACCACCATTTTAAAGCTTTTTTTTCTTTCTTTCTTTTTTTTTTTTTTTAAAGATTTTGTATTTATTTATTTGACAGAGAGGGAGACAGCAAGAGAGGGAACACAAGCAGGGGGAGCGGGAGAGGGAGAAGCAGTCTTCCCGCCGAGTAGGGAGCCCGATGCGGGGCTCGATCCCAGGACCCTGGGACCATGACCTGAGCCCAAGGAGATGCTTAACGACTGAGCCACCCAGGCACCCCACGCCACCACCATTTTAAACTTGGAGGCACCCGAGGCTCCTAAGAGTGTAGTCACTTGCTTGAGCAACAGCTAGAAGTGATGGCCCCGGGATTCGACCCCTCAGCTCTGCGCTGGAGATCACAAAATAAAGAGGATATTTTCTTTTAAGCCTGAGCTCTGAAACATACACGCACACACATGAGCTCCCACCCGCTTTTTAGTTAGCTAAACTGAGAGCAGACAGAACTCCACCAGCAACCCCCTGAGTGCCACAGCTAATTGTCTCGGGAAAAATCCCAAACTGCTTCCGTCCCTCCGCTGTCTGCAGCATGCTCTGCATTTTGTTGAGGAGCTTACTGTACAGTTAATCCTTGAAACAGTGACCTGCCAGAACATTGAAGCTTTTCACTCCTGGTTGAGTGTGACTGGAAAGAAAATGAACACAAAGCCTGGAGCTTGAGGGGGGAAGATCTTCATTTGTCGCAGATTCGGATTGTTTTGGGAATCAAGAGATGCTTATATCAGGAAAGAAGAGGAGATAGAGTGTTTCCCATTGTGTGGTTTTTTTGACTAGAGACCTATCGGTTAATTTACCTCTGAGTCAGTTTGCCATCTGGAAAATAGGAATATAATAATAATAATAATAATGATGATAATGATAGCACTTACCTTCCCAGAGTGTGCGAATACACAGATAATTTTCCCACTGAGTTGAGGCATGTAGTGAGGGCCTGCACCATCCTGCAGACTGACTGGGGATACTGTGACGAACAGAACAGCTGCACGTCTAGTAACGAGGGATTAGTAAAGCTTAGCACACGGCGGTCCCTGCTCCTGCTGTTGCATCACGCCTACGTTTTTCCTGTGGATCCATGAAAACCTCAGTGCGGCAGAGGTGGGACGGGTACAGGGGGTGGCCACCAGATTTGCTCACTTGGGCTGTATTTCGATTTTTCTTCCAGCTGGGCCACAGCAGTGGGTGGTTGTGGTTCCGTCTGCAGAGACAAGGGGTCCCTAGCTCTTGACGGGGAGGGGCTACGCTGGTTTCCTGGGCCAGCCTGCCACCGGGTCTTGGTTGCCAGGCGTGTCCCGCTGACTGGAAAGCCCCTCCCTCACCTGGGTGTTTGAAGCATGGCTTGTTAGTACACTTGGAGAGGGGGGTGTTGGCAACCTGTGTGGGTTGGACGTGTCCCAGACTTTTGCCTGAGGGCCCTGAGGAAATGCTTGCAGATTGCCTAGCGGGTCTGGTCAGGGGGTGCAGGACACAGTGTGAGGGGCAAGGCGCTGGTGTCAGACCAGTCTTTACCTCCTAACCCTGGGACCCTCGCCAGGGGGCTTGGACCCTCTGAGATGCACTTTGCTCCCCTTAAAAAGAAGGTGGCAGTTACCGCACCCGATGCACGGAGTTGCTGTGAGGCGAGTAGAGGGGGTAAAGCGTGTGTCTGTCTGGAACACGTACCTGCCTGGCGGGGTCCGCTGTTGTTGGAAGCACTCCGTCACGATTCACCCAGTTCATGCTCACCACAGCCCAGCGATGTGGGCACCACGACTCTCTCCACTTTACAGATGAGGAGATTACAGCACGGAGAGGCTACCGTGTTACAAGGGGCACCTAGTACGTTCCAGACGGCACAGAGGCAGCGATCTGAACCTAGTCTGGTTCCGGAGTCCCCGATGTTCTCCTGTGCTCCGCTAGCTCTTTATCTTGGAAGCTTGGCTAGGGCCGGGCGTAAAGTAAGCACACTGCAGACGTAAGGAACCTCAGACGTGTACCGACCAGTGTTCTTCACTTCTCTGCACACTCCTGGTGAATTTCCAGCCCGAGGCAACCACTGACCCATTTTCCGTCTCTATAAATTTGCCTTTCCTGAACATTTCATGTAATAAGGGAATCACGCCGTAGGTGGCCTTTTGTGCGTGGCTTATCTGGCTTGGCGTGGTGTTTTTGAGGTTCGCCCATGTTGTGACACGTATCAGTGCTTTTTGTGGCCAAATGATTCACCGTCGTGTGGCTGTCCCCCGCTTTGTTTAGCCACTCGCCAGTCCCCGGACCGGGGGCGGTTTTGGGCTTTCCGGCTGCTGGGAGTCGGGTCGCTCCCAGCACTTGCATGCACGTGCTGGGGCTGAGTCGGAGCAGGAGGGTGGGCCAAGCGGTAAGCTCTGTCCCCTTCTCTCCCCCCACCCCCGCCCGGGGCTTCTCAGAGCCAGGCAGCGGGCAGGTGTTCGTGACGTCGGAGAACCAGCTCGTGTACTACCCCAGCATCACCTACGCCATCATCGGCAGCTCGGTCATCTTCGTGCTGGTGGTCGCGCTACTGGCGCTCGTCTTGCATCACCAGCGCAAGAGGAGCAACCTCATGACGCTGCCCGTGCACCGGCTGCAGCACCCCGTGCTGCTGTCCCGCCTGGTGGTCCTGGACCACCCCCACCACTGCAGTGTCACCTACAACGTCAACAACGGCATCCAGTACGTGGCCAGCCAGGCCGAGCAGAACGCCTCGGACGTGGGCTCCCCGCCCTCCTACTCAGAGGCCCTCCTGGACCAGAGGTGCGTGCTGGACGGCGGAGGCTTGGGGCGGGGAGGAGGTCATCGAGGGGGAAAGCGGGACGCGGGCGGCCGGCTGCTGGCGGCGGCAGCAGGGCCCTGCGTGTCTTGGGTGCTGGCAGGACAATTCACACGCAACCTCTCTTGTTTTTTTCTTTTTTAAGACTTTTACTTATTTATTTGAGAGAGAGCGATCGCGAGCAGGGGTGAGCAGCAGAGGGAGAGGGAGAAGCAGCCTCCCCGCGGAGCAGGGAGCCCGATGCGGGACTCGATCCCGGGACCCCGGGATCATGACCTGAGCCGAAGGCAGACGCCTAACCCACTGAGCCACCCAGGCGCCCGTATCCTCTCATTTAATCCTCTCTGCGGGTCGCTGGGGGAGTGCCTCAGTTTTTACAGATGAGGAAACTGACTCTGGGATTTTAAGCGACTTGTCCAAGGGCATAGAGCTAGGATCCTGGCCACCTCAGAGCCCTGTTCCTGCCTGGTGATGCCACGCTGACCCATGTCCAGGCCGCTGGCTAGCCCGGCGCCTCACCTGCTACCGCAGAACAGTGGCCAGGCTGTATTAGAGGGTTGGTTTGTACTGTGAATGAATGAATGAATGAATGAATGAATGAATGAATGAATGAGTGAATGAATGATGGGTTCCTTGCTTGGCTCCATTTATAAAATAAAGGAGGTAGCATAGAGCACTCTCAAGCTTTTTAAAACAATAAGACCCTCATTTCAAATGGGATTGTACCAGAAAGCACAACAGAGAGTCAAAAGGCAGAATTCTATAGTGGAAGCAGCTGGTGGACCTGAATCCTGCCGGCTCAGCCTCCTCCTCCCTTCTTTGGTGACCTCCAGGGTATCCCAGAGAACCCATGTTGGAAGTTCGACTGGCTCCAGGTCCCCTGTGCTCTCCTCCTCTGAGCCCGGGGCTCAACGTGTGTGGCGAGAGGTATTTTGCGGGTCATGCACCCGGGCTGACTGGGCAGCTCTTGGACCCTCTCCTGCGGCAGCTCTTGTGTTATTTAATCTTTGTTTTTCCTCCTCATAAAAGGTGGAGGTAACATTGGAGGGCAGTGTTTAAGGGCATCTTTGCAAATAAGGGGAAGAGCCCAGGACCTCCCTCACCACTCAGCCTCTTCATTTGGACCAGCCAGTGTAGAGTCAAGTTAAAATTGCCGAATCCGAAGACAGAACACCTGGGTTTTGATCCCAGAGCGGCTGCTTACTAGTTATTTGTGATCCTACACAAGTCATTTCACGCCCCCTTGCCTCCGTTTACTCCCCTGTACGATGGGCATAAAAGTAACGCCCACCGCTTAGTGTTCTCGTGAGCATTAAGTAAGGTGGTACAGGTAAAGCAGGTAGCATGGTGCTCGGCTCGCAGGAAGCCTGCAGGAAGGGCTGCAAAATAAACTGTCTTTTCTGCGAAGTTCCTGCACGGCAAGCCAGCGTCCCTACTATCCCCTTCAACAGAGGGGACTGTCAATCGGAAGATCCCCACTCCCCCAAGCCCAGCCAGCCAGGAAAAGTTGGCTTTCAGTAAGAACCCCAAATTCTGTGGACCGTCAGAGGTTCAGCCTGATCAGCCGGCCAGCCACTCGGCCCCAGGGCCCCTCCCTGGCTGGTGCTGGGCATCCTCCCCCCCGGGCCGACCCGGAGGACGTGGTTTGGGCACTGCCCATTCGGCACGCGCCAGCCACAGCACCCCAACCTTTCCCCGCTCCCTTGGTCTTGTTGTAGGGGTCACCCTAGTCCGCGGATAGCCGTCCTCCTCGGGGGGCACATCGGCATCCCGCGGACAGGGGCGGAGGGGGGTTTGGCTCCTAACGCGTTGTCTTCCCTCTGCTCTCCCCTGCCTCTCCTGCCCCATCCTGCTGTCTCTCTTGCAGACCCGCGTGGTACGACCTTCCGCCGCCGCCCTACTCCTCGGACACCGAGTCTCTGAACGAAGCCGCCCTGCCCCCTTACCGCTCGCGCTCCGGGAGCACCGACAGCGCGGGCTCCCAGGCGGCCAGCAGCCTGCTGAGTGCTGAAGACGGCGGCCGCAGCCCCGGGCAGGCCGGCCCTCCTCCCGAGAGCGCTGCAGGGCCCAGGGACTCCGTGCCAGGCCAGGGCGCCGCAGAAGTCTAAATCGCCGCCTCCACGGTCCATGTGGGTCCATCTGCTCCGACTTCTTACCATCCTAACAACTTTCGCTCGTGGGAAGCTCCTCAGGGTGCCTCAAGGAGGGTGTCTCTCCGCTCCCCCTCCCACCCCCCCATCCCCGCCCCAGATTTCAGGGATGTCCTTTCGAGGGAGACCTGGCATTTTGCTGGCCTCTCGGGTGGCCTGATGTATTGTGCATCTTGTCTGGGAGGTCACTCGGCCTTCGGGGCCCAGGATCATGACCTCACTTGTCATTGTTCTTCTGTGACTGGTGGCATCTTACTGAATAGGCAGCCTCAGTGTGCAGGCAGCAGGGTAAGGCAGGGGCTGGGGAGTCCTCGAGAACGCAGTGCTTCCATGCCATGGTGGATGTTTCAGAAGGGCAGCAGACCCTGGACCACATTCTCCGTGGGCCGCTGCCTTGCAGCTCCATGGGAGACGGGTTGGATGACCCTCCCAGGAGGCCGGCATGGATGGCCACCCTCGAAGAATCCGGGTGAGCGTCAAACCCCGCCTTGCACGCTCGTGCATGTTGTCCTCAGTTCGGCGGAGCGGTGGCCAGAGGAGACGTTGGCCAAGGGTTATGCCCTTTAGCCATCAGCAGGGCCATTTTGGTTCTCTGAACGACTCTGAAACTTGCCCGAGAATCCTCGTTTTGAGGGTTTTCTCTGGCAGCATCTGTCCTCAACCTCATCCCAGGATAGGCAGGGAATCCCTGCCATACATTTATCTGAGTTCTCAGCTCCTAAAATGCAGGCTATCGAGAGCCTGGGCCTGCTTAGGTCCACAGCCCTTCCCTGGCTTCTGGATTGTCACCCCTCCAGCTGTGACCTGCCGGGAGCCAAGGAAGGAAGACCCAACTTGAATTGGCCAAAAATCGGATCTGGTCCTCTGTCCCTGGAAACCACTCCCAGCCTGTCTTGCCCATTCATGCAGCTTTCCACACTAGCTTCCCAGGTTACCTTAACCTCCAGAAGTCATTGTACCTGTGCATTTGGACTTGAGGACACGGTGGTTCCTGACACGCATGAGAACCATATTCAGTACCTCCCACCAGAGCCCCTGGCTCCCTGTGCTGCACACACTTCCTGCCCAAGGCCCAGAAACCAGCACCCTGATTCAGCATTCATGTTAGGGTTAGAGTCAGGCTCAGGCTTCTTCTGACCTGCCATAGTTTCTCCTCTAAAAGACTTGGTCAGTAGATAATTTGGAGTCGAGATTTGCCATTCGGACTTTTTTTTTTAATCTCTTAGAAATGCATTTGAAACAGTGTGTTTGTTTTTTCCCTTCTAGTTAAGGGATTATTTATATGTGTATAGGAAAGCTGTCTTCTTTGTTTGTTTCTCCTTGAGTGAGGTCCAAAGAAAAATGCGAAAGGATATCACACCTTTGTCCCGCTGAGCCTCGATACCGAGTCACTCCAGACTGACCTGTGTGCGGGGCCTTTGTGCATTGTTGCACTTTGAGTTGCTATTTATCGAGTTCTTGAAGGATGCAGAACGAGGGATGCCTTTCTCCCTCGGTTCATAGTCTCTGTGTTTATGCTAGCTTTCCTCTTTCTCTGTGCCCAGCCAGCCGCAGGGCCCACTCCCTGGAGAAATAGTGGGGAGAAATGTGGGCGTTCGTTGGCAAGAACCCACACTGATGGGGGACAAAACTGGAACCAGGCAGTGGTCACCCATTCAGGACTTCCTTACGTAGCAGAAGAAATGTTCAGTGACCTCGCTGATGCGAGGGACGACGTGACATTTAATGATCCTGTTCTTGGGACTTTATTTTATTTCTTTTTTTTTAAATCAAATCCAAACTGTGTTACAGGAAAGCTAGCCACTTGGTGATTTCTTTCTGTCTTTTTTTAAGTTAAAGAAAAGGAGCCTAGTTGCTTGCATCTTTCATTTTTTAAAATAACACGAGTTATTTTCTGCGTAAGCCAATAAAGAAAGAACTTTCGATGGGAGCCGGAGTGTGTTAGGAACTCTGGCTGAGCTTTTCATCTCCTGTGAGTCAGAATGGCTTTATTTCTTCTCCCTTTGATGGGCCCGTGCTTCTTTCTGGTATTTTGGAAGTTGTTTAGAGAAAGGGATTCTAATTTTAATTAATTGCGCAGTGAATTAATCTCACTGGCTTTTCTGCTTCCAGGCATCTTAGGAAAAACAAATGGTCTTAGTAGATAAGAAAGCCTATTAATGTTGTTTTTTTTAAATACAGGGACATTTTTATTATAGATGTGATTTTTTTAATGAATCTTTTTAAAAATCTATAAATAAGACACCAAAGCTGCAGGGTTTTTTTCCTGTTTTTTCCCCCCTACTCAAGATGGCAAATAAGTGGCCAGCAATATTTTTTAACTCATTCCATCCAGGCTATTTTTTTATATATTGCCTAATTCTACAGCCGCCTGAAAACCATCTCTGCTCTTTTTTTTCTCAAATGAGACCAGCAAGTTCTTTTTATTTTCATGTTCAAATTCGCATCCCTGTAACCTATAGCTTATCCCCTGACTCAGCCCCCGCCCTCCAAAATTGACTTTTTTAAAAAAATGCAACAAAGTGGTTGACAAGTAGTGTGCAGTGTTCAAAGTTGATGTGAACTGGAAAGTTTGTTGTGTGGTTGCTTTTTGTGTTTTGGTTAGGTTTTGGTTTGGGGTTTTTTTTGTTTTTTTTAATTTTTATACTTTCAAATAAACTTGCAGTTTCATTCTTTCTGTTGGTGTGAATAGTTCTTAACCCATGTTTCTCCTCTATGGCAATATGAAGAGTGAACAGTCACTCCTCATGGCTTCTGCAGTGAATTTACGCCATAATAAAATGAGAAAAAGGAAGAGTGTAGTGATGGGACCTCAAAATGTGATGGGCGTTAAGGATTCCATAGCTCGTGGGGTTGAAATACAGAAGTGAAGTCATGGACACCAGTGAGTATCATGGGACCCAGAGTGTCAGTTCAGAAGATGAACACTAATTGCCGTCACTAGCGTGCCCTTTGAGGGAACAGGACAAGTGACTGTGACAGCTGAAACAGATTCTGACCACATATTCAGGGGCACACTCCAGCTCTTGAACAGGTAGCTAGCTGGTCATTAGTTTTGAACCCCAGTGGCTCAGACTGGCCCCACCAGTGATGGTAACATCTTGTGCTTTTCTCAGTCTCATTTTGGAACTATATATTAATTGATGCTGCACGGATAGTTTCCACAGAAAGTCAGGATGCCCAAGAGATCACCCACGAGCCAGAGAAATAACCCTGGCCTTGGCCAAGACTGAAGTCCACATGGACTTCTAAACACAGAATGTACGGAACCAAGGTTTAGATCATGTATTTGTCCCCAGGTGTCTCAAAAAGAAGACTGGGCTATCAGACAGTGGTATCCCAAGTATACCAGGCCATGTCCTGCCCCAAGTGTTCTAGAGGAGACCTTCCCAAGCAGTATCCTCCAGAGGTTTGTCAAAATATTAACTCCTTCATCTCTCCAAGTACCATTGTTTACTGGGTGCCAGGATGAGGAAATGGTTGAGAAGCAGAAATCAGTAAACGTTTTCTGTAAAGAGTCAGATATTAAATATTTTTGGCTCTGCAGCCATATGGTCTCTGTAGCCATGACCAAAGCGGCTGTAGACAGTAAATAAATGGGTGTGGGTGTGTGCCAATAAAACTATATGAAAATAGGCAGCTGACTGGATTTTAGCCCGTGGGCTGGGATCCCCCAACCCTTGATATAAAAGAGCATTCCTACATTGGGGTCAGGAATCCATGGCTACAGGCATTATAGAAGAGAAAGAGTATGTTAATGGCCTGGAATATTAGAACCCTTAAAATGGCACCAGTCTCCAAAAAATAAAAATAAAAATAGGAGAACTTATGAGGCAAGCAATTCAAGGACCTGTGAAATTAATTTTAATTGACCCTATAAGCTCTTTTCCAGTGAATAAGAAAATACAGGATTAAGATGAGTGGAGGCTTTTTCAATGAGGTCCCAAACAGTTGTTTTGAACGCAGAGGTCCTAGTCAAAAAATTACTCTCGCTAGGGATTCTCTAACATGATAAACTGACACAACAGTCTGTCTTTCAGAGAAAGGTCCGTGACAATGAGTGCTCTGAGAAGTATTGTCCATATTCTCCATTTAGCTTGCCACCCTGAGGCAAGGCAGTAGATTCAAAGAGAGAACTATAAAAAAGGAAGGGGCTTCAGATGACTACAGTGGAGGTGTGATAAGTGCACCCAGTGAGACCCTCAGGAAAAACGTCAGTGAGAACATAAACTGACTCCCTTGACATCTTATAGTTAGGTAAGATCATGGGATCACCCCCAATTACCCCCAAGTGATAGAATTCCAATTCATAACATGCTTAATTGTATTAAATTTTAGAAAAGATATATTGGCTAATGCAACTAAGACCAAGGTTGTGGAACTGTTGGTTTCAGGTTGGGCTGGATCTAGTTGCTCAATAGCTGTCATTAGGAATCTGTTTCTCCCTCTCAACTTTAGAGCCCTGCTTTGCTCAGCATTGGTGTCATGGCCTGACGTTAGGTGAAAAAGAGGGGTCCCAGAAGATCTAAGTTTGCAATCTCAGAAAAAGAGATACTATTTCTTCTCCTAGAGTCTGTAGAAATTCCCTTAAATGGAGTTATGACTGATCATCCTGGGTCATACGGCCACTACCGTGGGTGGGAATCAGTCTCTTGATTTACAGTCCTGCCAGAATTACATGAAATGGGAAAGGGGTGATTCCCATATGGGAGGGGCTGGTAGTAGACAAAATACCAATATGTCTACTGTAGAGCCTCACCAAGGAATGGGACCCACAACTGGCTGGCACAATTTCTGGTACACATAAGAAAACGCATGTAACTTCAAGCTTCAGGCAGCGTAGGTCTGAAAAGAGCAAAGGCAGTGTTAACAGTGAAAATTTCAGGACACAAGAGCCTTTCTCTAGCCTGCCTCTAGGAGGTAGGTCAGTTTCAGGCCACAGGTACATTGGGCCTGGGTTAGGTATGCTTTTATGAGATCTTCATCTGGTGTAGGTCACATGGATAAAGCCATATAGGAGGAGTTCCGCCCTAAGGAAGCCTGAACTGTCTTGTGGGCTTCAGGACTGTCCCCAGACCCCTGGAAGCATAGAAATGGTGCAGTTATCCCACCAAGAGTCATCCCCAACTTGCACAGGATTTTTAAGTTGATGGATCAAAAATACAGTCCCATTTTTCACCCTTGTTACACTATGCAAAGACTTAGACTTGATTATGCACGCTGTTAACTAAGCTTTCCAAATTAACCCTTTTATCTGTCCCCCGCCCACCTAGAACTAGGATGCATCAATATCCAGAGAACCACAGCTTGGAAATTCTGGGACAGCTGGTGTCACAGGAGCTGAGAGGTTCAATCCCCATCACAGTGGGGGCTTGAAGGCATGACCATGGGGGACTGGGATGCAGTATTGGGGCAAGCTTGTTTATTTTAACATGACTGATGCTTCAGACCCAGTCTGGGTCTGTGGACTGAGCAAGGATGATTCCTGCTAAGTTCCAGTACCAGGCAGTATTTGCCATTGCTGGGCTTTTAAGTTCATCCTGATAAATCGTCCCAGTGGGCCAGCAGAGGAAAAGGTACATGGAGAAATCCTATGGACTTTTCTCTAAAATGGAGCACACACAGGCAGCATTTATGGGCCAGACCTGGAAGTGGTCACACCCCTCCATTCACATCCTTGCCCAGGGTCTGGTCAGTCTCACAGCCACACCTACTACAAGGAGGCTGGGAAGGTAGATTGGATATGTGTCCTGGAAGAACCAGAAGTGGATTTTGGCACCAGCGACCAAATATATGTTCGTACACTTCTTTCCTCCCATAAAATACGCTCGTCCCTTCCCCAAAGAAGAAACCCAACCAGATTCTGAATCTAACCAGATTCAATGTCCAGGATCGTGAAAATTTCTGTCCAAAGCAAATGTGCCTCCCCTATTAGGACGATTTCTCAACCCCACATATCTTTTATCATTTGTCTTCTTAGATTGCCTTCCTTCAACCTAATGCTCAGAATACTTGAATAACTTTCAAGTCACTCGGAATAAAAGTCAAAATTGTGGTCTGCTAGACATTTACACCATCAGCCACCATTACCTATCCAACTTCATTTTCTACTGTTCTCCTCCTCCCTCTCACTGCTCCAGCTGCCTTGACCCCTTTGCTAGTTCTGGAACCCACCAGGCACACTCCCCACTCAGGCCCTTTGCTCCTGCTATTCCTATTACCTGGAACATCCATCTCCAGACACGTGGGATACTCTTCTCCATCAGAGAACCATCATGACCCACGTCCCTTTAGAATCTTCATACTGCCATCTTGGCGACCTCAGCTGTGGCCACTTGGAGACTCTTGGAAGAGAGAAATATCAGAGCTCACTCTTGACTAAGATCTATTTACCACTTATATGATTTGGGGGGATTCCTAGACCAAAGTGGTACATGGGAACTTGGGAAGGAGCTTTGGGGAGTGTGTCCGAAAAGTATGGTCTGGAAATGTAATTTGGACCAATGCTAATATTATCCAAGGGTCAAGAGGTGAGCCAACTTAAGAAACACCTTGACTTTAGAGATAATACACTGGACTGTGCAGGAGAGGACCTAGGGATGGAGGTGGTACTTGAAGACAAGTCCACAGGGGGCCTGCTCTTTCGGCGACCCTGCATGACACGGGACTCTTTTGCAGAAGAACTTGAACCAGACCTTCCTCCTGGAGTACGTTCTGGTGTATCAGTCTGTGAATCAGCTAAAGGGCACACCGACATGCCTGGAAACTTCCTAGGATCACCAATCCCTGTTCGGAAATGGTGGCATCCTGGGGTCAGGGATGAGGCGCTGGCATCTAGCTCAAACAGGGCAGAGTTACAGAGTTATCATAGAAAGAAAAGAAGGAGATGGCTTCCTTCTAAGTGAAAAGGCAGCTGCTTAAATAACTCACCCCTCCCGTTGGAATCAGTTGCTGGGAAATGACTGAATGTGAGTGTCTTGACCCCACTTGCTGGCTCGGCTTAAATCTAGTGAGTGGCTCGTTCGTGAAGATGACGTTCATGTTTGCCCGGTGTGTGTCCGCTGGGATCTGTTAGAGTCCCCACAAGCATTACAGGAATAAGGGATTGAATGTGGAAATGAGGGCTTACGCGGATGTGGCAAGAGCTGTCCCAGTGATGGCCTTACCAATGTCGCGGGCCTCACGCAGGGACAGGGAGAAACCGGAGCTACAAGGCAGTGGAGAAGCCACGTTAACTCCAAAATGGCGCGTGACGGGAGAGCTCACAGGACTGTAAAGCCATGAGCCAGATCTCACCCCCAAAGCGCCAAGAAGAACGTTGCCGTTGCCCTTCTGCCTTTCCTGCCTCCCACGAGCTCCCTTCATGGGCACACTGGGCCTGGAGCCGTTCGGGGAAGGGGATTCCGGGAAGCACAGTTCCCAACCTCAGGTGAGAATGGAGCCAACGGGCCCTCAGCCCACTGGGGGGACCAGGATGTCGGGCCAAGCAGTCGTTTCCAGAACAGACCCTCCATCCTCCAGGTGAGATTTCTTATTATGTAGCAAATTGGTCCAACGAGGGTTGGACCTTAAGTTCTTTGTAATTCATGAGGAAAGGGAATTTCATTTTTGACCCT